ATACTTGCATTGAAATATCATCATCAGCTCTATCATCATAATTATATTAATAAGTAACTTTAAAATAGACTAACTTTTTTTGCTTATTAAGAGTACATGGGCTTTTCTGTCTATAAGAAAACAATTATAATTTATTATACTAAGTATGTAGACTCTACCTCATAAAGCAGTAGATATGAACAATAACACTCACAGTTAGTAGACCACACAATATACCCACTAACACACTAAGAGCAATGACACTGTCTGATGTATCACAGTTATATAATGACTGCAGTGGTAGTTTTAATGTTTCATTAGTGATAACTGTCCATTCTCCATATCCATTATCAGTGTATGCACGTACACCAAAAATAAAGTAAGACATATCATTAAGACCAGTAATGTTGATATAAGTATTGGTTGAATTATGTAGTTGCAATAGTTCAGTATTAAAGTCATCATCATCTACCATCATACAACTACCACCAGACTGTAAGATATGATATCCTATCTCATATGTGATAATGGGATAGTCTGATGGAATATAACTAGGTACACTCCATGAGATAACAGCCCATGTAGCGTCAATGATACTGGATACTGAACCAACTGGACCAGGTACTAAATAAAGACACATTCTCACAGAACTGATATAGCATAACAATTACATACCTATTCCAATCTCTACTTCAATAGGATCACTGAAGGGACCTCTTCCAGCAGAATTGACAGCAGCTACACTGATGTTATACTCAGTACCAAATACTAGATCATTCAATATGATATATCTCTCAGTACTGGTGAGGTTGTATGTGATACTACTGTTACTGATAATCACTGTATAGCCTGTGATTAGACCATTACGCTCAGAACAATCAACCTCATTCCAAGTGAATCTATTAGCTGTAGAATTAACTGGTAATACTTGAATTGATGATGGCCAACCACTAGGAACTACAAATCACAATTAACTAATTACTGAAAGAATAAGTATCATTACTCATTGCTTCAGTTTGTGCTGATGTGCCCATGCTTTTATCAGATCCTCCTAGTACATTACCAGCTCTCACTGTGATGGTATAGTTCATACCACTGTACAGACCTATTAATGTATAACTGTATGTTGTAGTGGACTGATGAGGACCAACAGAGACTGTCTCATTCACTGATGATAACTGGGGACAAGATGGAGTATAGGAGATGGTGTAGTATGTTACATAGTTGTCACTACTAGGGATAGTCCAGCTCACTGTAATACCAGTGGTTGAGACATTAGATACTGAGAGACTAGTTACTGAACTAGGAACTACAACAGATATCAATTACACTCTCTCAATCATAATAACTCACCATCAATCCTTAACACTCTTACTGTACTATTAACTGAAGGAAGATCTATATATGAGTACACACTGATGGTATAGGTACTCATTGGGGAGAGATCTGTTAGTACAATTTCATCTTCATTGATAGATACTACATTCCTGGTTACACCTCCAGTAGTATACTCAATCACATATCCATTAGTCTCTGATGAAGTGGTCCAGTTCACTTTGATACTAGTAGCATTTAATATAAACCCTCTCACA